AATAGAGAAAAAAATAGGAAGATAGATCCAAACATCAAAAGCTGCATTAATGTAAATGGTCTGAACATACCATAAAGAGACAGAGACCGATACTGTTAGAGTAAATGAAGAAGCAAAAACCACCATTAAAGCCATTTCTTATAACACATTTTCAGTATAAAACAGAGTAAAAGTAAACAGATGAAAAAAGATATAACATGTAAACATTAAGAATAAAGCTGTAATTACTAAATTAATGTTAGAAAAAGTAGACTTTGGAACAAGGAATATTTTAAGATATTGTAATATAGTAGTATGTCGTAATTATAAAGGGGTACTAATCAAAACACTATTTTAATCCTTAACGTGCAGGCATCCAAAACAGAGACTGAAAATACATGAAGCCGAAACTGATATAACTGAAAGGAGAAACAGACAAATCCACAATTCTAGTCAGAGAATTCAGCACAAGTACTGCTCTCTCAATAACTGACAGAACTAGAAAATCAGTAAGCATTTAGAACGCTTGAACAATACTGTCAACAAATTTGACCAAACTGATATTTACAGAAAACTCCACTCAACACAGCATAACACATGTGGTTCTCAAGTGGACATGAAGTATTTACCAAGAGAGGCCAAATGCTGGTCCATAAAACTAATTGCAACAAAATCATACACACTGGGTTCTCACAACACAGAATGAAATTAGAAATCAATTAACAAAAAGACATGAAAATCCTCAATATTTAGAAATTAAATAATACACACATCTAAATAATCTAATGGTTGAGAAAAATGGGAAGGAAATTAGAAAATACTTTGAACTTAATGAAAATAAAGAAGACAGTATCAAAATTTGTGGGAGAATATTTATAACTTTAAATACTTACGTCAGAAAAGAAGAAAAGTAGAAAACCAATTATCTAAGCTTCTGCCTTAAGAATCCAGAAAAATAAGAACAAATTAAGCCCAAATAACAATGAAGGAAAAAATTAAAATTAAAAATGAAGGAAATGCTAAAGGTTAGAAATCAATGAAATAAACAACTGACAAACAGTAGAAAAGACTCATGAAGTCAAGTGTTGATTCATGAAAAAGCTCAATAAAATTGGTAATTAACTAGACTAAGAATAAAACAAGATAAATTATTAATATCAAATATGAAACAGGGGTCATTATTATAGGCATAATATAAAAAAAATATAATAAAGGAATATTATGGACAAATTTATGCCAATGAATTTGACTACTTAGATGAGTTGGAAAAATTTTCTTAAAAAACATAAATTACCAAAACTGACTCAAAAAGTATTGGAAAATCCAAATATACTTATATACACTAATTAAATTGGTGGGTAAAGATTTCTTGAATAGGACTGACGAAAGCATAAAACTTCACAAAAAATAATGTATTGGAATTCATCAAAATTTTAAACTGCTACCTTTTGAAAGATACTGTTAAGAAAAAAAGCCAAGGAAGATTGGGAGAAATCATTCAAAATACATATTCTTCCTAGGATTGGGAGAAATCATTCAAAATACATATTCTTCCTAGTAAAGAAATTATACAAGAAAACATAAAGAACTCTTACTACAACCCAGTATTTTAAAATTGGGCAAAAAATTTGAACAGACACATCACAAAGGAAGATATATGAATGGCCAATAAGCCTATGAAAAGTTGCTCAAGATCAATAAATATAAAGGAAATACAAATCCAGCATTAATGAGACACCACTCCTAACCCCTCTACAGTGTTCAATACTAAAAAGAATAACAACACTGAGTGTTAGTAAGAATACACAGTAGCTACAACGCTCATATATTCCTAGTGGGAATGAAAAATGATACAATCATTTTAGAATACAGTTTGACAGTTTTCTAGAAAGTTAAACATATACCTTCCATAATATCCAGAAATTCTATTCCTAGGTACTTATGAAATATCATGAATGATACTGAACATATCTAAACAAAAACATATGTCTACACAAAGCACTTGTATGTGAAAATTCATAGTGGCTTTACTTCTTATAGTCCAAAGCTGGAAACAAAAATGCCCATCAACTGGTAAACAGATGAAACATAGTAAATCCGTAAGTACTACTCAGCAATACAAGGGAATGAACCATAAAACACGCAAGACTGATGAATCTCAAAAACATTACACTGAAGAATACGGATGCAGAAAGCACATACGTAGGATTCCATCTATAAGAAATTTTAGAACAAGGAAAACTAATCTGTAGTGAAAGAATACAGATCAGTGGTTGCTTGTGGCCATGATTAGAGATTGCGGATTTATGTGGAGGAGACACAAAGGAAATTCGTGGTGGGGGTGGCAGTGGCATATAGAAATTTTCTTAATCTTGACTGTGGTGGTGGTTACAAGGATGTATTAATTTGTCAAAACTCAATGAATTATAGTATATTTTATTGTATTTAAGTTATTCTTTAAACAGAGATTACTAACAAAAAAACCAAATCCAAAGATGTAGTAAAATGCTCTGTTTTTATATTTTAAAAATGACTCTACCTGTTGGTATCAGCAGCTAAAATAAGTTAATATACATAACAATGTTTTAATAGTTGGGTTTTTGCAGGTTTATAGAAGCAGCTACATCAAACTTAAGCTTTGTTTTTTGTATTTCTGTGAACTGTACATTGAGATTTGTTTCCAGAGATATAAATAATGAATGGAATTAGCAAAGAAAGATTCAATCTTAAGTCCACGTAACTCGTGAGTTGTTATAACTCTCTGGCTGTTAGGTAGATAGGAATTCAAGCCGAGAAGTTCAGAGCCATTGAAAGTTTTCATAAAAATCTTCAGGTAGCCAATGTATCATAATTCATTAGTACGTTCACCATGAACTAAAAGTTTCAAATATTTCAAAACAATGAGATTTTGGAACAGCTGTGTGTTTAAGTCCATTTAATTTTGGGGAGTTGGAGAGTCTACATGATTTGCAGAGTCAGACAAACACAGTTTGAATCCTGTTAAGACCTCAGGCAATTTGCTTAACCTCTCAGACTTGGTTTACCTTTTGTAAAATGTTTTACCTGGCACACAACACTCAAAAAATGGTAGTTCCTTTTCTGCCCATATAAAAGTAGGGTTATAATCAATGTAGTCCTTTAAGAATATTAATCTTTTGACAGAGCACAGGATACAATGGAAAGGAAAAGAGAAAAGACATAAAATAACCAGTGAGGAGGATTCAGAAATAAGATGATAGCTTGAACCAAGAAGTGGCAAAAGGAATTGAGAAGAAGAGGTGAATGAGAAACATTTAGATGAAAGAATCACAGGACTGGGTGTGAGGGCCAGGAATAAGAAAAGTATCAAAGATGCAGGCGAGGTTTCAAAATTATGTGAGATTAGAGCAGTGATATGACCACAGCCCAGATGTACGATGACAAATGGCAAAGTGTGATGACAAATTAAAACAGCTGTTTCCCAGATACAACAGCTCGTTTTTTTCTTTGACCTCTTGCTTTTACTTCTTAGAGCAATAGAAATATAATACAAACTACATACGTAATTTGAAGTTTTCTAGTAACCAATTTAAGAATAGGTAAAATTAATTTTAGTACCATATTTCACTTATCCCAATATAATCTAAAATACTATCTCTCAACATGTAACCACTATAAAAATATTAATGAGGTTTTACTATTTTTTGTATTTCATCTTCAAAATTTGACATTCATTTACATTTAAACACATGTCACAATTTGGACTAGCCATTATATGATGAGTGGCTACCATTTTGGACAGCATAGACTTAAACTATTAGATGCTATAATTAATTTTTCTTTCCAGATAAGTAGGTAAACAAAATGTGGTTTTTTCATTCAAAGTGACAATCAGCAATAAAACGGAAAAGGCCACAAAGTGGATGAATCTCAAACACTATATGCTAAATGAAAAAACTAGACTCAAAAGGCTACTGTGTCATTCTATTTATATGACATTCTGGAAAAAGCCAAAATATAAGAATCAAAAACAGGTCAGTGACTGCCTGAGGCTGGGAATAGGGAGAGGACTTGACTAAATTCACAAGGAACTTTTTTGGGATGATGAGTGTTCTGTATCTCAGCTGTAGGGATGGTTATGTGACTATGCAATTGTCAAAACTCATAGAAATGTATAGTCATCCCTCAGTATGTGTGGGGGACTGGTACCCCCAGTCTAACATGTGGAGAAACTGGAACCCTTATACACTGCTGGCAGAAATGTAAAAATGGGGTAGCTGGTCTGGAAAACAGTCTGCAGCTCCTCAAAAGGTTAAACATAAGGTTTTAACCCAGCAATTCCACTCCTAGGTAGATACCCAATAAAAACGAAAACAAATGTCCACGTAAAAACCTGTACATGAATGTTCACTGTAGCATTATTCAAAACAGCCAAAAAGTAGAAACAACCCAAATGTCCATCAACTGATAACAGATAAATAAAATGTGTTACATTCATATGCTCTATAAAAAGGAATATTACTGTATAAAAAGCAATGAAGTAGTGATACATACTACAATGTGGATGAACCTTAAAAACATTTGGTTAAGTGAAAAATGCCGGTTACTAAATACCACATGCTATACGATTCCACATATCCACAAATGTCCAGAATAGGCAAATCTATCAATACAGAAAAGACATGAGAAGTTACCTAGGGCTGGAGGGGACTGGGGAAACAGGGTGGAGGTACTGTGGCTAAAGGATATGAGGTATGTTTTGGGGTGATGAAAATGTTTTAAAACTGATAGTGGTGACAGGTGCACAACTCTATGAATATACAAAAAGTCACTGAAAGGTACAGTTTAAAGAGTGAGAGATACTGTATGTGAATTATACCCCAATAAAGCTATTAAAAAACACTCTCCTATTAATGGGGGAAGAGCTTTTAGTAAATACTAACAAAACAACTAAACAATGAAAAGCGGTGTCTATGCAAACATGTAACTTTAGTTTTAGTTCATCTTTGGCATTAGGTTAGGAAAAATAGCAAAATTATTACCCTTTCTACTGAAGACAACTGTTGCTGTAATCCATCACATTTTCTGTTTGCTTCTTCGAAAAGAGCTTTATATTTTTCCGTTTGAGACTGTTGTAAATTAACTGTTCGCTGCTGTCTCACACAATCTTCTTCAAAATTTTTCAGTTGAGACTTTAAATCCTGAATTTCATCCTCCTATAGTTATAGAATTATAGACTATGTGAAAAAACACAAGATTTGGCACCAAACATAAAGCAGAAAACATAAAGGAACTTCATACAATCTTTGATGAGATATTTATACCCATTTCACCAAGAAAATCAAATTACCTTCCATTTGCATCCTCAAAAAAGGAAGACAGATGTTATATTTGAGTTTAATAGCTTACACTTAAGTCTAATATAGTGCATTCTAATTGCTAACAAGTATTTAAAATTCTTCAGCTCTATGATAATTCAACATCTCAGAACAGAATAAACTGCAATATTTATGATTTTTGAATTTAAAATTTAACTGTGAATTATACCTCAATGAAGCTATTTTTAAAATAAAACTGAAAACTGCTCCTAAAATATCTTTGAACATTACAGCATTTATTTTGAGAGGTTTTAAAAACTTACCTTTTTACTGCATTCACACACAACATTATCCAATTCCTCCTGCATAACACGGAGTTTGGCCTTTAGAAATCTGATCTGTGCTTCTGTTGATTTAAATAATAATATTTATTGTCTTTCACTGAATCTAAGATGCCATCAATTGTAAGACCACTATTTTATCATGGAAAAAGTGCTCAGGATGGGAGTCTAATAGGAGATTCCTGTTTGGGAATATTAAAGGCACTAAATACCCTTAATGTAAAGGTAAATGAAAAATCCACCCAACAGAAAGGAATTGTTCACATCTCAACACCGGAGCCAAGTAAAGAAAGGGGGAAAAAACCAAAAAGCTTCCCTGAGAATGGGAACCACACATCAGTGCTCACTGAAGTTTGCAGACTGAATTCATACTTACCAAGGTGGTCCAAAACACCTCAAACAGAATTTAACGCGGTCTCAGGTTGGTAATGCCCCTAAGTGTTTGACAGAGGCAAACACAAATCCTCCCTAGCAAAACTCAACCTCAAAATCAGCCACTGTGATTATAAAATGCCACTGACTGTAACATACACTCTGATTTCACAGAAGTTAAAAGGTAGTGTTTATGTCTCAGAAGCAAAAAAAAAAAATACACTAATACCTTACTGCCAAAGCTTGCTCCCACAAACCCTCATTAAGCTCTACTTTTGGTACTTCCTTGCTAGCAAAACTTCTTTATTCTATAGTGTAAGTAAATCTTTGCGGTTTTTAGGCCTATAAAAGTAAATAAAGTGAAAACTGAACTTAGAACTCACTCATAATTCATTCAGTCATTTAAAAGATGTTCCAGGCATAATACGGACATTATAATACAAACTTTGCTTTCATGGAGCTTATCTAGAATAAACAACTCTGAAGAGTCTCTGAGAAGTTGTCAGCATAAATCCTGCAGAGCATAAAAATCTCCATACACACTTCCTGTTTCAAAGCTCTCCTTCTGAAGTGCCCCCTGTGTCACCACAGAGCTGATCAACTATGGTTGGCTCCAACCCACCTAGATTTCTCTAGCCTCAGCAATCCTTCTAGCCCCTGATGCAACTAACTCTAGGTTAGCAGGGGATAGAAAGGAAATGATAAACTTAGAAGCGTTAAGTTTGCAGCATTTGGTCTCTAGGGGAAAAGAAGGAAGAAACAATGGGAGAGCACAACTTGTCACAACTCTAATCTCAGTTCTACCAGTAAGGAGCTGAGTCTCTAGAGGTCCACAGCATTAACCTCCTCTCCCCTCCCACTCCAATCTCTGTTTTACAAAGCAGTCTGTGCTACTAAATTACATTTTTGTTCTTTGCTCCTGCATATATAACCCAGTCATTCTGGGCAATCATGTGGAGTAAGTGAAAACTCCCCTAAAAGGGGAGATACCTAAGCCAAAGATTCTGAAAAGAGAAGAGAGGGGTGCAAAGTGGCAATTCAGCGAAAAGAAAAAAAGCAGCAATTTAAGGCAGTCTGTGCTCATTCCTTGTACCTGGGAGGAGGAGCTCTGTAACAAGGCCATGCGTGACTGTACTGAAAAACAGCCAACATCTGACCATTGTGTCCTTGAAGGCATCTTAACAGAGGCATAAAGGTAACTTTCGTTTTCACTTACCTTCGCTCCTAACAATTAGCCCCCAGAAGGCTTACATAGGTCAGTAAATGTAACAAAGGCATAAATGAATTGTTTATTTATGACTAGCATGCAGCACAATAATCACTACACATGTAAATTATTATGATCCTCATAGAATCAGAAAACTTTAAAGATAAACTTCTGGATCATCTAATACAAACTGCTGTATTTTCAAAGAAATTGCTATGCTATTACAGAGGGGCTAAGTGGTTTGCCTGAACTCACAATTAATTAGAGTTCAGCATTAACTATGTTCATACATACTCAACTGTCTTATTTTTGGTTTACATTAGCATAGGTGGCTCCTCATAATTCAATAATTTCAGAGGTCTCACTGGTAACTAACAATGTTTTTAGATGATCTAAATTTAGTATTTTTTTTCTAGTGGTATACAGAGAATGAGTTTATAAGAAAGATTATTAATTAGAAAACTTGTTTATTTTATCTGATGCTACATTAATAATTCAGTTATCCTTTAATATGTGTTGATTTAACACAGCAATAAGTAGAATATAGTAATATGAAATGAAAGGAACTCAAAGAAATCTGGTTTTTAAAAAAGTATTTCAGTGTTTGCATGATAAGCTATGGGCCACTTAACCTGAGTTGCAAAGTGGTCAATGAAACCAAAACTAGATAGCCTCTTTTATTTTTACTTTTTATAATGAAAAATATCAAACATATACAAAAGTGGAGAGACTAGTTCAATGAAACCCTACTTACCTATCACCTATTTTCAACAATTATTAACTCAGAGCCAATTTTATTTCATCTATAATCCCACTCATTCTCCCACCACTAAGTCTTACTAGATGATTCTGAAACAAATGCAAGACATCACAATATATGTCTTAAATGCAAGAAAAATAGTTCCTAATATGTAATTGTGATGTAAGGATAAAAATAAACAAAAACCCCTACCTGTTCCAATGTCTTTACTAACACCACAAAAAATATCATCATCTATAACATCAGGTAAGCCTTCTTCCTCCAGTTGCCCTTCAATTTTGCTAATTGTTTTTGCAAGAGAGAAGTCTGAGAAATCCTCCAGAATGGCAACATCATTGGCAGTTTGTACATCAGAGTATTTCAATTTTATACTAAAACAAAACAAAACATATATATGTACACTGTGTATTATATATTAATATAAAAAGGAGCTAAGACTCCAAGATGACTATTATCCAAAAACAAAGCAGATGAAAATTACTGTAAATTTTAAATTTATGATGAAATCTACAATTGATACTTTTAAGGGCTTATACTACAAGACACTTAGCAGACTTTCAATCTTTATGAATCACAGAACCACAGAGCTAGAGAAGGCTTTATGATGCCAGTTAGTCTAGACATTGCCAATATAAAAAATTAATAAATAAAAACCTCAATTAAACAGTCAGAGGACCAGAAGGGGGAGCTCACACACCCTGTGACACCAGCAGAGCCCAAAAGCATGTAGACTCCTCTTCCGCCCTGGCAAACAACTCAGCTAATGGAAAGTCTTTGTATACTCTAGCCCTCCCACCTTCCTTTCCCATCTATAAATGAGTTCTCTCTGCCTTGCCATTGTGCAGTTATCTACTGATGCTGAAAAAACCCAAATCTTGCTTTAGCCCAATACTTCCAAAACAAGCGAACATTAAAACTAAGAGTATTGAACTTGTTCTCCTAGGTCAAATCCAGCCTGTGGCTTTTAATTTTACATGCCACTGGAGAAGAACTGTAAGAACTGGTACCGTTCTAGCCATAATTCTGCAAACAATGAAAAATAATATCTCTTGAGAAAGAATTACAGAGTCAACAGTTCTTAGCTCAAACTCTACATTTTTTCCACCGAAAGAAACACTAGTTCTAAGCAGGGTCAAAGTATACTAAAAAGTTGATATTTTTTAAGAAAGAAGAAATATGAAATAAAAGTCACTTCAAAAGGCTTGAGATATGGGCCAGGCCTAACCCATCAAGTTTGTTTCCAAACGTCTTAGTTTTAACTTTTTACTTACTTTAAAGCCTAACTCACATTTAATACATAAGCAAAGGCTTTAGAACTTTTTTTGGAAAAATAACCTTTTATTTAAGGTAATTTATTTATTTTTAGAGGAGGTACTGAGGGTTGAACCCAGGACCTTATGCATGCTAAGCATGAGCTATACCCTCCCCGCAATCCTTTTATTTAAAATGTAAGCTTGAAGTCTGAAAATAAGATAACTCTTTCCAGTTATGTATGTGCATGTACTCATGTATGTAGTGTACGTTCAATTTCCTTCTATCAATTTTAGATTTTTCTTCTTTATCCTTTCACTCTATTTTTTCTCTTTTATTCAAAAAACAAATATGTTATTTAGCCAATTAAAAGACACAAGAATTAACAAAGATTTTTTTCCAGAATCATAATGCACTTATCAATCTGGGTACGCAATAGACATATAAATTTAGTAATTTACTGTGAATAAGAAGCTGATTGGTACAATCCACTGTAGGTGTGATCCTCCTTTTCTAGGTCTACTATCCATCCTAAAGAGCCTCTTAAGTCCCCCTTTTATGCTTAAAATACTAAACACATTCCTGAATTCTTTAACACCAAAAACAGAATGTAAATTATAACTATACCATAGTCTTAGAGCATGCCAAAATCATTCTCTATCTCAATATACACAATAATGCATGGTGTTCAAAAAGTGTACGACTGTTTAATCTATTTAAGAGAACTAGGCAAAGAAAGATATCAAGGTTCTAGTCTCAGTTCTAAGAAAATACTGAACTAAAAATAACATTTAAAAAATTTGAAATGTGGCAATTTTGCTTATGAGAACAATACAAAATGTTCATTAACTGCTGCAAGACATTTCTGAGTAGAAAATATTTTAAATTATTAAATTGGATAAGATATGTATGGTATAAGTTTGTATATTTTGGGTATAAAAAGATCTGGAGAAACAGAAAGAGCTTAATAATTAAAAACAATGGTACTGTGAATTATAAAACTAAAAAAAGTAATAATTTTAAAACTGTACTATACCTTGAATTTTTTTTCTTTCCTTTACTTGAAGAGTGTAGTTTGTTTTGACCTTTGTTTATTGTATCGTTTTTGGTCTTTGGCTACATGGAAAGAATTTAAACTGCTGATTAATTAATTAGATTCTAATCCCTTGCCAAGGAAAGCAATTTCATGGTACACAGAACTGCTAGTTTGCTACGCAGAAGAACTGCTACTGTCACAGAATTAACCAAACTGTATTTGAAGGAATCCAGAACTGTTTAGCTGGAGAAGACCTAGTTATCACTAGGACTAAGTGATGCAAATATAAGAAAACGAGTCCCACAGATTCAAGGATATTCAGCTAGCTAGTGGAAGGTTCAAGGGGATGTTCCAATTCACAGAGTTTTACTCTCCTCACTGACTGTTCTTCAGACAGGCCTCCACGTAAACTGTGCCCTGGGTCTACACTCCCATGGGTGGGGAACTCATACATCCAAGCAGGCCCCGCACCTGCAGCAGAGATCTCTACACTGTTTAACATATTTGATGAATATTTAATATTCAATATTTGAATGAATGAACCTTCCAAATCACCTTTATATATGAATACTTTTCTTTTTCAGATCTTCTATCTAGTAAATTTGGGCTTCAGAGAGAAAACTAAAAATTCTTAGATAACAGATAATTTCACTCAGAATTTTTTCCAATGAATCTCCAAATTGTTCAGGGAAATTATGAGACAAAAAAGGATTCAATTTATTTTATGAGCAACATTTCATAAAGGCATCTCTTCTGAATAGCAAGACTCATAGTCTATTTCTAGAGTCATACTCCTTCTCTGTTTTGTCTAACAAAAGTCTAAAAAACAACCTAAATTCTACAGAATGTAATTACATTCACAAAAAGTTTGATTTCATACCTTAGTTTCTGAATGTAAATGAACTGTCCCTTCAGACAATAATGGACCTCTACAGATAAAAAATAAAGATCATATTAATAAAAGGTGATATAAACTGAGACATAACAAAACTCAACAGCAATTATGTTTGGAAGGAAAAATACATAACTATCAAATAGACTTCACTATAATTCTAATTACGCATATGTTAATTTATTTTGAATGTGTCACAAACCAGAAAAGTGCTTTGATTACATAATTTGCCTTTGAGAAGATATACTATAATGCCAATATTTTTGTAGGAAAATGTAGCACTAATTTTAATGAATGGTAATCATAGGGAATGATTATTGGCTACACACAGGGATCTATTTTACAAAATGATTCACCACATGGCTTTTTATTGAGGCTACTCAAATGTTATCCTTTGTCTTATGCATTTAAACACTTGGTCAGTGTGTGTTTTCCCCATCACATTACGAACTCCACAAGAGTAGGAAACATGTCTGCCTTGTTCACTGCTCTATGCTTAGTACTTGGCATAGTACCTGGCACACAGCTCTTAAATTGGCACTAAATAAATATTTGCTAAATATATAAGCATATCTAAAACACAATTCACTTTTATGCAAAAAGTTTTCAAAATACATTTGTAGTTTAAAACAAGGAATGTTTATGGGGGTCTGCACTGTCCACAGTTGCTTTTGCACTACAACAACAAAGTTATAGTTGCAATGAAGACTGCAGAGCCCACAAATCCAAAAATACTCACCATCTGGTTCTTTATAGGAAAAGTCTGCCTACCCCCGGTCAATTTTCTAGATCATCCCCAACACATGTATTAAAATTTCTAAAAATCTACCACGTCAGTCCATAATCTATCATTGCTTTGGGGGAAAAAAAATCCAAAAACTCTATCATATGCACTGAGAATTCCTAACCAAAGTAGAGAACATAAAAACAAAATTACTTTCCATCAGATGCCACCTATGCCTACTAGATATACATAGGGTTTTTTTTTCCAATATTAAACACAAAGATACATTTAAGATAGGTATTAAATACAGCCTCTTAAAGAATTACAAATCACTCTGGGAGGGAAAAAGAGGCTTTCAATATGTCTTAAAATTACTGAGACTAAAGAATCATTGTCACATATGACAAGTTTCCAAATTTTACACACATTTTAATTGTCCTCTTTAATCACACTCATCTTACAATAATATTTGCCGTTTCCTTACATTTTCTGCATCTTCCAACTCCCCCACCCCACCACCATCTACACATCCATACCAATAGACATTTAACAGTTCTGTCTCCCTCAGGTTTAGCAGAGTGCTATTACTTTGTTAGTGTATTTCCATGAAAAATGAACTAAAACACAGTATTCAGATTATTTTTGTTAAACTTCTCCATGGAAGTTTGTAATATGATTAAAATAATTTGTGTGGTAAACCTTTCTTCCAGCAGACTGAAGGACACTTATGCTGTACTATCGAGAAACTGAAGCCTGGTTTCCCTATTATATTCCTAGAGTAACCCTGGATGTTGAAGACCTATTACAATAAATACTGCCTGACTATAATCACTTAGGTCAATTATCATTGTTCCATCTTAAAATGGATTGTTTCTTTACAGGATTACCTTCCATCTTCAGCAATTCCCAATAGTCAAGTGCCATGTTTCACATGGTAAAAGCCATCTGTTCAAACAGTAACATTAAAAAAAAAAAAAAAAAAAAAGGCCACCGGATCTAGGTAAACAGAGGTGTCATCACCATTTTGCACTTAAGGAAAATTTAGTAAAAGAAAATCAACAGATTTATTTCCATGCTTGTAAAATCAGTCTCTCACTTGCTTCAACAGAAACCAGGGATTAGCAGTTGTTACCATCATTTCAATCTTTTTGTTTACTGACTACAAAGCAACACACGAGGCATTAACTCCTTGGGAGGAGGACCTGGTCTGTTCACTCACCATTGTACCACCAGTACACTACTGTGTTTAAAATTTATTTTGACCTGGCACTAATAGTACTCAAAAAAATTTTTTTTCAGGTTTACTGAGATAATAATTTACACATAGTAAAATAAATCCTTTTTAAGTGTACATTTCTATAAATTTTTACTAACTTATATGGTCATGTAACCACCACAACAACCAAGACAGAGAATATTTCCATCATCCCAAAAAATTCCCTTCTGCCCCTCTGTAGTTAATCCCTCCCCCAAGTCCCACAAAACCACTAATCCAATTACAGTCCCTCAAGTTTTACCTTTTCCAGAATGTCAAATAAATGAAATCATACAGGATATATATTATCCATCTGGCTTCTTTCACTCAGCATCTATGTGGTTGCTGTATCAGTAGTTTATCGTTTTTAATTGCCAAGTAGTGTTCAGTTGTATGGATATACCACAATTTGTTTATCCATTCACCATTTGATGAATGTTTGAGTTGTTCTCAATTTTTGGCAATTAGGAATAAAACTGCTAGAAACACTTGCATGCAGGTTTTTGTTTGGACTTATGTCTTTATTTTTCTTGGGTATACAGCCGGAGGGAAATTGCTGGATTGTATGCAATAATTGTTTTTGAGTAAGTGAATAATGTCCCTATGTTTCAAATATGAGTCAAATATACTGCCACTTAAGTAACATTTCTTTTTTGTTTCCAAGGCCTCTAAGGTGTTTAAACATTATACTCTCTTACGGGTGTGCAACTCTCACAGGCTGCTTCATCTTAGAAAACTGAGAGGACTAATAGCTATTTTAAGATTTAAACAATCACTAACTGTTTTAGTCCATTACTCTTAAAGTTTCTTTGTTGATACAACTCTCTCAAAAACTCCTGGGTTTCTTATATATTGATTCCAATCAGTTCTATGTGCCATTAACACACTCAAGAGTTCTTTTCAAGACTGTTTACTCTGAACACCTCTCCTTCTCCCTCCTTCTCCCCAAAAAACCTCCGTTTAAAAATGGATTACTCTGAGGCTGTCAGGCTTCCATGAGGAGACTATTACCTTTAGTTAGATCTTCGCCTTAAGCCATTGTACCCAACTGTATAGTTTCATAAGGTGCCATTTAATATGATCCTTGGCCTGAAAAGCCTTAATCCACTGGAAAGTTTTATCAGTAGTTGTGAAGACTACATTTAGTCTGATCTTTGCCTCAAGGATGAGCTTTAACAGGCTTTTGTTCCTCAAACATTTTATCGATTTTATCTCATAATTTTTGAGGTCTAAAAGCAGCTAACTCTACAAAGCAAGGTAATCAAGACAGTGCAGTACTGGCCTAAGAACTGATACACAGATCAGTAGAATAGAACTAAGAGTCCAAAAATAAAAACATGTCATAAGCCTCTAGCCAGGTGATTTCTGACAAGGGTGCCAAGACCATTCAACGGAGGAAAGAATAGTCTTTCAAATAAATGGTGCTGAGACAAATATCCACATGCCAAAGAATGAAGGTTGACCCTTATCTCATACCATATAAAAAAATTAACTCAATTCAGATCAAAGACCTGATGTAATGTAAGAGCTAAAACTATAAAACTCTTAGAAGAAAACAGAGGTAAATCTTAAATGACCCTGGATTTAGCAACGGATTCTTAGATATGAATGACTCCAAAAGCACAGGTAACAAAAGAAAAAACAAAAAGGTAAATTAGACCTCATCAAAATTAGAAGCAGATGACTTTTCCAATATTACATGGTCTCTAATTCCTAGAATTTCCACATTCTTTTTCGTTTTTGCTTCCAAACAGCCAATTCTTTCCCAAGCTTGTCTCTTTCTTGTAATACCATGCTAAATACAGCTAATATTAACAGCACATACTACTAACACTGTTTTCCAACCTCTTCCCCTAGAGTTCATCAGACACCTGTTCAACCTTCCAATTTATGAAAGGTGACAGTCTTACTGAATTTATTGCCACTACAGAACAATATTCCTCTATCTTTCCAGCCTCCAAATCAGTTTCTTTGCTGGTACCACCTAACTACTAAGCTAAAGTCACACTTCTGGACTATTTGTTATACAGCACCTGACTCTCAGTACCAATTGCTATATTAGTTTAGATAGGCTAGGATATTAACCCCCAAATCTCAATGGCTTAACACACTCAAAACAACAGAGAGGGAGAGAGGGTCCTTTTCCCCACATGTTCTGCATGAGTACACAGTCTACCAGTGGGAGGTTTCACCAACTAAATTTTCACTTATCATAGCAGAGGAGGAGGCAGCGAAAGTTTCAAGCTGACTCTGCTTAGACTTGGAAGAGAGTAATTTGACTTCTGTCATAGCAACAGACATGAAGATTTGGTGATCACCAATGCCTCTGCTATAAGATTTTGTAGTTTTATTCAAACAGATCCTGTTCTTGTCCTGTTAAATTTATTCCTAAGTATTTTTTGGTTCCCTAATTTCTTGACGTATCTAAACTTCACAAGAAATCCAAGGGAAAAGTCATCTAATATATCTTATTTTTTTACTAGTTTATTTATTTTTACCTAATCTTCACATAGAATTTTAATAAAAAAGTAATCTATTATGTGAAGACAGGTTTAGAAATCTTACCAACTGTAGTTTGGATAGCAGTAAAATCACATACCATCTATAGGTCCTTGGGCAAGCTACTGAACTTCTTTAAGCTGCAGTTTCCTCATTTTTAAATAAAGACAGTAATATTTACTTGAAAATTAAACAAGATAAAGTATAGTTGAAAGATTTACAGTGTGTCTGACTGGTGTTAAGTCCCCAAACATTAGTATTTTATATATTATATTATTCTTCAAATTATTGATTCCTAATTCTTACATGCAAAAAGATGTTATATAATAACAGGTCCACATACACTATCCAACAAAATGGTATTCTCCCTGATTTCAAACTATAATAAAAGCTATAGTAATCACAACAGTATGGTGTTGGCATAAAAACAGAGACATAGATCAATGGAAGAGAATAAAGAGCCCAGAAATAAACGCACTCATGTATGCTCAATTAATTTATGACAAAGGAGCCAAGAATATACAATGCGGAAAGGACAGTCTTTTTTTCAATAAATGGTGATAAGAAAACTGAACAGCCACATTTAAAAAAAAAGAAAATGGACCACTATCTTACACCACACACAAAAATTAACTCAAAATGGATTAAAGATTTGAATGCCAAACCTAAAACCATAAAAATTCTGCAAGAAAAACATATATGGTAAGCTCCTTGACATCAGTTTCAGTGATGATTTTTTTGGATTTGACACCAAAGACAAAGGCAACAAAAGCAAAAATAAACACATGGGACTACACCAAACTAAAAAGTTTCTGCACAGCAAAGAAAACCATCAACAAAATGAAAAGGTAACTTACTGAATGGGAGAAAATGTTTGCAACTCATATATCTGATAAAGGATTTGGATTACTGTCTAAAATATATTTTAAAAACTCACAAAGCTCAATTAAAAAAATTATCTGATTAAATAATAGGCAAAATATCTGAAGAGAGAATTTTCCAAAGAAGACACACAGATGGCCAACAGACGCATGAAAAAATACTCAACATCACTAATCATCAGAGAAATGCAAATCAAAACCACAGTGAGGTATCACCTCACACCTGTAAGAATGGCTATTATCAAAAAAAAAACAAGGGATAACAAGTGATGGCAAGACTGCAGAGAAAAGGGGACCCTTGTACATTGTTGGGTGGAATGTAATTTGGTGCACCCACTATGAAAACAGTATGGAGGTTCCTCAAAAATTAAAAACAGAGCTATTATATGATACAGCAAACCCACTTTTGGGTATTTACCCAAAGAAATTTTTTTTATATATATGTACCCTGACGTTCACTGCAACATGATTTACAATGTTATTTAAAATAGATATGAAAACAATCTAAATGTACATCAACAAATTAATAGGTTAAAAAAAGTGAGATATGTACCTATATACAGGAATATTATTCAGCCATAAAAAAGAATGAAATCTTGCCATTTGTGACAACATGGATGGACCTTGAGGGCATTATGTTCAATGAAATAAGTCAGAGAAAGATAAATACTACTCGATCTCACTTGTATGTGGAATCTAAAAACTAGCAAAAGCAAGCTTGCAGATACAGAGAACAGATTAGTGATTACCAGAAGCTGATTAGTTAGGAGTAGGTGAAATGGGTGAAGGAAGTCAAAAGGTACAAACTCCCAATTATAAAATAGTCATAGGGGTGTAATGTACAGCATGGTGACTATACTTAATAATACTGTACTGCATATTTCAAAGCTGCTAAAAGAGTAGATCTAAAAAGTCCTCACCACAAGGAAAAAAGATTCTGTAACTATCTATGGTAATGGATTAACTAGATTTATTGTAGTGATCATTTCACAATATATACAAATATTGAATCATTATACTACCTATCTAAAACTAATATAATGTATATCAATTATACCCTAATTTTAAAAAAAAAATCTTCAAGCATTTATCCAGTAAAAAAAAAAAAAAGTTTAAGGTATTTGAGAATTTAAATTACTTACCTTAAACTGTAATCATCTTCCTCTTCATATGATTTAATTTGTGTTGAAATAGACTTAGATCTTTCTTCTTGCTGATCTCTCTAGTTAAATGAGTAAAGATAAGTCATATAGAAAAAACCCCACAAAACTAGGATATATTCAAGTGCCTTTCTGATCATTAATCATTTCAGAGTTGTCCAAAATTTCTATAAAATCAAGGCACAGAATTCTAAAAACTATGGTATAAAACTAAGGTCTCTGACAATCTAGTTTCACCTTTCACTCATTCTCGTTTAAGAAAGTCAATTCTAAGGGAAAATCGTAAGAATGTCAGTGCCTTTATATGATCTCATTTGACTCCTGCTTCCCAACTACATTAGTCTTGCATCTTGTGTAACATGCAAAGGAAATCAGGCTTGTAAGAAATGAAAACATAAATCTATTTAACCGGTAGAAAAACTTGTCTCAAATCAGGCAAACTTCCACATTAAGAAGACCACATAGAAATGAAAGCGCTAAAAATGAAGCACCAAGATTGAAAGCTTTTGGATATATCAAGAAATGAAAGTGAGAAAACAAAAATTCAATGTGGCAAAAGTTATATCCATTCGAGGACTCTGAGCAGAATACATGATGAATCCCTCATTCTACTCCAGTACTGTGTTTCTCTGTTCAAATATTTCCCTGCTCTTTGGACAATGACAAAAACTAAAAGATGTAATAAATACACTTATTTTTTAGTACAATATGTAATTACAAATGCAACTAGCAAAGTCTGTAACTATTATCTAAATATATTACCTGAAAGGTTATACGTTTCTCATTCCTAACATAACAAACAATGATGGATGTGTATAAGGCATTAAAATAAAATACTGCTTACTCTTTCCTGCCTACATCAACTCCAAAGTGGGGTGGGGTGTGATTTAAATGAAAGATAATTATAATTAAATTAGACTAAAAACTGAAAACAGTTTGAAAGCAACCACTTTATTCCTCTAAGGAATACTACTATATCCTATCAACAGTGGGAATGCTGACATTTAAGGAGGAATGCTTAAAATAGGAATAACCACTTTAGTAGTCAGAATGGGGCAAAACATGCTTATAGTGTGTAGTGAGATAACCTCACTACATTTTTCCTGACTATAAATCTGATTGTGTTCTAGCCCTAAGAATTTGAGTTTCAGCCAACTGCTGAGTTTAAGAAACAAATTACCATCTGAGTGTTAGTGATAATTGTTATCTTTTATTCAACTTGTGTCTGGAGACCATTTCATTTCTCCTCTTACTGAATTACCAGTACTAATTCTACATAGCTATCCTCAAATATTAATCTTAAAATAGGAGGAAATACTATTAAATATTAATGTCCTTATTAATAAGATCATTGGAATATCTAAATGGAAAACACTTTTTCAGTGGCTTTTAGAAAATATGTGCTTATCAAAAACATATACATGCACATATACATGCGTATATTGATGTTCAATTTATGATAATTCACTGAGCAGAAAATTTATGCTTTGGGCACTTTTTTGTATGAATGTTATACATCAAAATAAAAACTTAAAAAACTAGCATTTACACAGAACTACTAATAATTGTACATTTACTTACTATTACTTCCTCGGCTTGTCGAACAAGATCAGCCGTTTTTGCCTCTAATTCTGCATTTAAACGCCTAAAAGCAGAAAAAAATTTAATAATTGGGATATACTGAAGACTGTAACACAAAAGAAAAAGTAATTACATTTCTGTGACTACACTTAGTGAACCAGCAAATGCCAAAACATACACATGATATTTTTATTCTAAAATTAACATAACTAGAGTTAGCATAATCAGAAAACTTAACTCCAAATCCCCATGATTCCTTCTTTGTGGTGGAAATTCAATAGTATAACTCCTAGCCTGTCTCTGGCCCTTACTTCAGGTGGAATGACTTATTTGGGAAGAATAAACTGGGTGAGTTCAACTCAGTTCCACTCTCCATCTTCTTGGGATCAACTCCTACTGAGAACAGGAGTGGGGCAGAGCTGGGGAGAGGCCTGTTTTCATCTGGGGTTCCTGTGACTGGGGAGGTAAATCCGGGGTTTAGTGAGCAGACCTGAAGTGGCTCACACCTTGGCTAGACACTTCAATATCAGTTTCATCAGAAATAGAGGTGATTATTTTTAGCTTTACCTAGCAGTCCTTTTCTTTTTCATTCTATTTGGAAACTAGCAAAGAAGGGAAATACTATTTGGCCCCACTACAACTGTAAGAATGGTAATGCCATTGAAGGAAACTGTTTTTAAAGGAAAAACTGTTCATAATCCTACCACCATATCCAATTTTTATTTTTAATATTCCCTTCTAATTTTCATCTGCAGTATATACACAATTTTGTACTATTTTCCATAATATAGATAGAATATGTTTATCTCTATACAGTCTTTATAATTAAGGCCTTCAATGGCAATGAAATATTCAAATAAGTTGAAATTAAGATAATATACTAAATTGTTCCTCTTGTTAGTTCAACTCCCCTTCTCAGTTTCAAAAGTTAACCTTTAATAAACATCTTCAAAAGCATGTATCTTTTCAATTCTACTCACAGGTCACATTTCTAGACCTTCGAGGCCCTTCTTAAGTTTTATAGAGAAAACATACTAAGAAAATTTTAAAATCAGGTATCTTGTTTGTTTTTTTACATATGTGATTCAGAAGTAACACAAACCAGTGATGACCACCCCCAACTCCCAGGAAGAGAAAAAGCAGTATGATATCCCTTCTTAAAACTACCTGATTTTTCAAGAAATATTTTGGTATCTTAGAAAGAGTTAATCAAAAGAAAAATATCTAACAAAGACTTAAAGTTGTATTTAAGATGCCTTTACCTGATTTTTCACATTTCCCTAATAAGAACCATTGGAACTTTCTGGTCAATATAGCAAATACTGAGATAATTCAAAAGGCTATTTTTCTCTTCCAAACCCACAGAAATGCTGGATAAAATGTACTGGAGGAAATACCGTTAAAGTCAGATCTCAGGCGAGGAAAACACCCTGGCACTAAAAATAAAGCAGCAACTCAAAGTGAGAGCAGTAAACAGGAACGGAAGCCAAAGCAGCTCAACAGCTAGAAACTGACGCACATGAGAGCATCATGAAGGGCTACACCTGCGAACCCCAGACGACGAAAACACGAACCGTAACCTTAGGTGAACGGAAGTGAAACTAGAGCCACGTAGGGAAAAGATTCTCTTGTGAGTAATTAGAGCACACAAGACTGCGGTGCAAGTTCATCTTACCAGATGGTTTAGGGACCCTATGCCAAAACTTTAATATAGAAAAATTGGCTGAGAGCCAGTGAGAACTCTAATCAACTAATAAAGTTAAATACAAAACCACCCTTAGGGACATTTACTCATCTAGAACATATGAACTCTCTCAGAAAGCAAATTCTGCTAAAGATGACTTCACAAAGGTAACAAATTGCATTAAGAAACAAGTCCCCAAGAGGGAAAATCAGCAGATGTAACAAAATGTGTACCCTAAGAACAGAGGATAATAAAACAATCTGGGAAAGAATTTTAAATACGATTTTTCATTTAAAAAAAGAGAATAAAAACAATTATACAACAACCAGGCATTCTAGACACATATTCAAAGAACACTGAATTTGGAAAAGAACCAAATAGAAATTACACAAATGAACGCAGTCACTGAAATTAAAAAATCAACTCATTGGGTAAGTTGAACAACAGAATGAACTGAAGAAGGAAATGAATGAATTAGAAGACAAATATGAGGAAATCACCTTCAGGGAGGTACAAAGAAACAGAAAGATAAAAATACAAAAGAGAGGTTAACATCCATTGAAGACAGACTATATGATAAAGACAGACTTATATCTACCTAACAGATATGGCAGAAGGAAATCCCAGAGAAGGAGGAAATGTCAATATTTGAAGAGATGTGCTGTGTATAGCCTGAAGCAGGGAGTGTGAAACCTCCATCTCTGTTCTTCTTTCCAAAATTGTTTTGGTTATTCAGGGTCTTGTGTTTCCATGCAAATTTTAAAATTATTTGTTCTAGTTCTGTGAAAAATGCCATTGGTATTCTGATAGGGATCACAATGAATCTGTAGACTGCCTTGGGTAGTATGGTCATTTTAACAATATTAATTCTACTAATCCATGAAGTCTTTCTTTTTGTGTCATCTTTAAATTCTTTCATCAGTGTCTTATAGTTTTCTGAGTACAGGTCCTTTACGTCCTTAGATTTATTCCTAGGTATTTTTATTCTTTTTTATGCAAAAATATACAATGGGGAAAGACAGTCTCTTCAATAAGTGGTGCTGTGAAGACTGGACGGCTCCAAGTAAAGAATGAAATCAGAATATTTTCTCACATCATATACAAAAATAAACTCAAAATGGATTAAAGACTGAAAACCGTAAAACTCCAGAAAAAAACATAAGCAGGACACTCTAAGACACAAATCACAGCAATATTTTTCGTACCTATCTTCTAAGGCAAAGGAAACAAAAACAAAAACAAAATGGACCTAATTAAACTTAAAGGCTTTTGCACAGAAAAGGAAACCAATGACAAAATGAAAAACAATCTACTGAATGGAAAATATTTGCAAATGATATACCCAACAAGAGTTTAATATCCAAACATATATCATAGTTCATACAATTCAGTATCAAAAACCCCCAAACAACCCAATTTAATAATGGGTAGAATACGTGAATAGACATTTATCCAAAGAAGACATGCAGATGGCCAACAGGCACATGAACAGATACTCAAGATTGTTAATCATCAGAGAAATGAAAATCAAAATCACAGTAAGGCATCACCACACAGCTGTCAGAATGGCCATCATCAAAAAGACAACAACAAATGTGGCAAGGATGTGGAGGAAAGGGGCCCTTGTATACTCTTGGTAGGAATGTAAATTGGTACAGTCACTGTGGAAAACAGTATGGCAGTTTCTCAAAAACTAAAGACAGAACTCCAATGTGACCCAGTAATCTCACTGTTGGGTATATAGCCAAAGAAAACAAAGACACTAATTCAAAAAGATACATGTACCACAATGTTCATGTATTATTTACAATACCCAAGACATAGAAACAACATGTGTCCACCAACAGATGAATGGATAAGATGTGATCTATAAAAATAGATATATAAAATATATATATACACACTTACACACACAAAATGGAATACCATTCAGCCATTAAAAAAGAATGAAATTTTGCCATCTGCAACAACATGAATGTACTTGGAGGGTATTATGCTTAGCAAAATAAGTCAGACAGAGAAAGACAAATACTGTGTATTATCACCTATATGTGGAATCTAAAAATACAACAAACTAGTAAGTTTAACAATACAGAAACAGACCCACATATATAGAAAACAAACTAGTGGTTACCAATGGAGACAGGGAAGGAGAGAGAGACAAGATAGGGACAGAGGATTAAGAGGTACAAACTGCTATGCATGAAATAAATAAGCTACAAGGATATATTTACAGCACAGGAAATATAGGTAATATTTTGTAATAATTTTAAATGGAGTAGAATTAATAAACATTTTGTATCACTGTTATACACCTGAAACTAATATATAAATCAAGTATACCTCAATAAACAGGAGAAAGATGACAAATACGTGAAGTTTCAAGAATATACAAAGAGACATAAAACAAAGACAATATGACGTTTTTAAAAAAGAGATAATGCTAATGCTGAGAATCTTCCAGAAATGAAGATATGACGGATCTCAAGCAAAATTAAGAAAAATCTACACCTGTACACATCATAGCAGAACTGCAGAACTTCAAAGACAAGGAAAATGTTCTTTAAATTACCAAAGCAAATATTTAAAAACAAGAAAGAAAAATATTCTACCTTCATGACTAAGAAGCTGACAGTAGATGGCTCAACAACATCTCTAGATTCCATTGGGCAATGAAACAGTATCTTTAATGGACTGTCGGTGAGGGAAAACTAGCTACTTGGAATTCTATATTCAGCTAAACTGTATCTGAAGATTAAGTGCAAAGTAACAAAAATTTCAGATAGGACTGGAGAATTTAAGACAGATTTTTACAGAGAGAAACAATGAATGGTCTATGCTGCAGGAAGAGGAAACTGAACTCAGAAAAAAAAGAATCATGATACAAAGAAACAAGAAAACATGGTAATAAATCAGTACAGAATATACAAATGATAGGTAGAGGGTATTCAAAACAAAGAGGAAATAAGTATTATCTAACTTGGCAGACTACAGAAACCAAGTTAAAGCATTCCAAGGTCTCTCTAAACTAGTAAAGGAAAAATAAAGACACAACGAAAACTCATTCAACCAACAGAAGACAGAAAAGAAACAAAGAAAAGGCATATTATGGAAAACAAAAAATAAGATGGCCAAAACAACTTCCTATTAATAAACAAAATAATATAAATTCACTTATTATCAGAGAGGATATAAAAGGAATGTTCTTAATAAAGCTAAATGATATCAAAGGTTTGAAAATAAAGGAATGAAAATAGAAATAAAGATACTATATAATAATGAAAGGAATATTCATCTAGAGGATTTATATAAATCAAACAATGTAGCCCCCCAAAATGGACACACTTACAGAATTTTTTAAATTATGATTATAGTTGATTTTAGTACACCTCTAACAGAAACCAATACAATTAGTATGAAAAAATGGTGAGGAAACCGTTATGAACAGCAAAATTAGCTTGATCCAAGATGCTAGTCAACAAATAGATTTTCTATCAAAGAACACACAGAATATTTACAAAAATTGAACAAGTACCTGGTCACGACAAAGTTTCAATACATTTTTGAAAATAAATATTATATATAGTCTCGGACCATACTGCAATTAAAAATGAATTTTAAAACAACAAAAATAAAATAAACAAGCATATATATGCTTGGGAACTACCAAAAACACATTCCTAAAATAATCACTATGAAAATCATAAAATATTTAAAACTAAATAACCACAAAAGAAATATATACCAAAACAGGTGCTTAAATACTGATAAGCTGTACTTCGAAAGAAATATACAGAAATTAAATGTATTTCTTAAAAAATAAAAAGATATATATCAAAAATAAGTCCATCACAATTAGAAGAGATAGAAATTATAAAGATATGACTAATCAAAAAAATTTTAAACCACATATATTAGCAGAAAATAATTCTTTGAAAAGACCAGTAAAATATATACAACAAGACAGAAAAGTCCCCAAAAGAAGGTTTGTGTATGATAGAGAGAGAGTCAAGACTTGAAATGTAAGAGTATAACTAGAATAAATGTATGCTAACACATTTTATAACATACACAAAGTGGACCCTTTTCTTTCTAAAAAAGTAGCAAATCACCAAAATTTACTCTGGAAGCAATAATTATTAAAGAAAGTGAATTGACAGGCCAAAAAAAAAAAAAAACCCCCAGTTTCACAATCTTAATCAATGGACAAATGATATCTGATTACAAGCAGCTTCCAAGAACAGAACAAAACAAAAAAGTAAAACTATTCAGCTTATTTTATGTGGCTAGGATAATGCTGGTATCAAAATCAGAAAGAACTGGAAAAAAAAAGTGTAAGATCAATTTCACTTTTGTTGCATGGATGCAAAAAAAAAAAAAACCATGTAAAATTAAAGCAATCAGTCCAGCTGTCTTTAAATGAAAACTGAAAATCTGCTTTTGTAGTTCAGTATTTTAAAACAATAAACAAGGGGGTGAAAGAAATGTCATCACCCAAGTTAATCTGGGGGAAAAAAGTTTTGATATGATTTAACATTATTTCAAAATATGAATTGAGGGTATAATATTGCAAGTCAACTGTGCTTCAATTAAAAAAAAAGAGAGACTGTGGTCTTAAGCCTGATTAAAAAACAATCTACCAAAACTCTATAGCAAACTTTAAATGTAGTAATAAGTTATTAAAAGTGGGCTCCTTAAAATCATAACCAAGATATGGATGCTAATCATCATTTTTTCTATTCCGTATTGCACTGGAGGTTCTAACCAGATCAAGAAAAAAATATGCACAAAAAATTGTAAAGGGACAAAACTATCATAATTTGCATGTGATAAAACTGTCTATCAAAAACCCAAGGGACTCTACAGAATAAGTTCAGCAGAGCTAAAAATCTATATCTATATAAATACAAATATAGGATCAACATAAAAAATAAGTAATTTTTCTATACATCTAGCCAATTAGAAAATGCAGTAAGCAAAAAAGCCATTCATTATAGCAACAAAAACCATAAGGTACCTTAAGAAATTACATATGCAAGGCTTTTATGTAGTAATATGATTGAAACAATATCCACATATACTTAACATCAAGACAACATGTGGCAAAACAGTTATGAACTGATATTCTCGCCTCTAAGAATGGCCAGACATTTTACTCTTGTGCATAGTGATCTACAAACTTCAAGCAGAGCCCAAGAGGTACTCTGTTCAAATGCCTCAGATTTGCACACCTCAGAGTACACCTAACAAACAAGTAACAACTGGGAGCCTTTCCCACAAAACCACTTTTGCTAAAATAGATTAGCTCCTGTAGAAATCTGACTTTAAGCAGGATCATATCCCTAATGACACAGGAGGGTCAAGCGCAGACCCTTAAATAATCAAACGAATTAACCTAACCAACGCATGTATTTAGTGCTATCTGGTGTAGGGTAATGAAAGTAACTGTTCTGAATTGAACACAGCTGATTCAGAACTGTTATGAACAACAGACCTGTTGCTTAAGTACACTCTTTAATTGGAGTAATAGGCCCATTTCACCAAGTAGAGGAAGACTATCTTTCCACAGGCTATGGCAAGTTGGCGTATGTCTAGTTTATCTAAAGACAATACACTTCAGTTTTAACTTTACATATGCTTTAATTTTAAGCACAGATCATATGGTAATTCTACATTTAACCATTTGAAGAATTGTCACGAGGTTTTCCAAATTTTAATTAACTTACTTTAAACTAAAAAGGAGTGAATTGTTAAAATACATATATATTTTTGGTAAGGGTATATATAATGGCAAATAAACGACATGGTCTCCAACTCTGGAACTCACAGTCCAGGGAAGGAAACAGACAAAAAGTTAACTAATAAATGAATTGACTATAACAAGTTATGCTACCTGCAAATAAAAGTTAATCAAACAGAAAAAAAAGAAGAATGAGGAGCTTACTTAGCATGGTCAAGGAATGCCACTCTGGTAGGCAAAAAGGAGAGAGGACAAGATCAAACAGGAGGCAGCAGCTAGATCTGACAGAGGTTTTAAAGTGCAGTCTGAAACCACCGCCAAGTTTTGGGCAAGGGAGTTACAAGATCAAATTAAAAGATATCTCTGGCATCTGTGTGAAAACTGGGGGATGAAAACTGGAGTGGTCCAAGAATAAAAGCACGTGTTGTGAGGATAGTTGTAATTACACTGAAAGCCGATAAGGAAAGAAAACCTCCTCCCAACCCCACCAAATGTAAATGAGAACGGTAATTCCAATTACCTTGAAATACAGGCTTTCAATTTCGAAATCAAACCTAAAAGAAATTCTAAAACGTTTATACTAAAACGTAAACTCTAGGAACCTGAAACCAAGTGGAATTCCTTAAACTAGAAACTCAACTATTCATGGCAATTCCTGCTATCCGAACCACTTATAGCAGTTATCATCTTGCGGACGAACTCGTTTGCTTGGGTTAAATTTTCTCCCACTTCCAAAACCTACTAGGACTCCGGCGAGTTCAAGTTAAAAAGATAAAGAAGGGCAAGGGAACGGGATGATGAGAAGAAAATGTTGGACAGTGAGCGGTCCCAAAGATCCACTCAGTCCCCAGGAAAAGTACTTGTAAGCAACTCATTCACGTGAAAGAAACAATGGAGAAGCTGAACCGCCAAGTTTCTTACTTATATTCCTCCTCCTTGGCGAGGAGGTCCCGACGAGGTGTAGCAGGTTGCTGAACGCGTGGCGGGAGCGGAGTCCTTGAAACGCTCCGACTCTATAAAAGAGACAAACACTTTCAGACTCAAGGTTGAACGGGGTTCGGCGACCTCGGGCCCGCCCGGTAACGAGCCGCTACCCAGAAACGCAGAGTTGAACAGACCCTGAGGCCAACACTTCGCCCCGCCATCTTTCGCCTCCACGACGCCGTTACCGAGGCGACGACGCCTCTTCCCGCGAGAGTTACCACAACTCGGGCAGCTTCCTGAGCAAGATTCTGACCACGCCCCGTCCCTTGGTAGCGAACAGCGCGAGGCTGGGGCGGGGCTGAGAGCCGCGGGGTGGGCGCTGCAGTCTGCCCCTCCGTGGTTAGTGCTAACTAGTTAACACCTGTCCTGCTTCAGGAACCGAATAGGCCGGTGTAGTGCGCTGAGTTATCAATTCTTAAGTTGGCGATGGAGGAGTTTTCCACGAAGGAAGACAGGTTCTTTTCTATACTCAGGAGGAAGCAAGCTAGTAAAGCCCCTACCCTGTTGTGGTTTTCAAAACTTAGTGGCCAGTTTTACCTCCACCTGCTTTGTTTAAAGGAATTCCAAGTTTTGGTTTCCCACATTTACTTATAGCATGGTTAAGAGCTCAGGCTCTCAAGTCGTTTGCCTAAGTTCACGTGCTGGGTCTGCCACTTACTAGCTTGGGCAAATCACTCTATTTCACCTGTAGCGTGGGAGTATTACTCCCATTCTAGTAACTCAGAGTTACTATGAGGAGTAAACGGTTTGGGGTGGGAGGAGTGTACGGCTCAGTGGTAGAGTGCGTGCTTAGCATGCAGGAGGCTCTGGGTTCGATCCCCAGTACTGTCATCTTGAAAAAAAAAAACTGATTACCACCATCCCCCACAAAAAAGAGTGAGGAGGTAATGAATTTGTGTTGAGTTGTGCCTGAAACAGTAAGCGGTCAAAAATTCCAGTTTTTCTGTCATATACTTGGGAGTCCAGAAATAAACCTTCACATTTGTGGTCAACTGGTCTTCAGCAAGGTTGCCAAGACCAATAAATGGATAAAGAATAGTCTTCTCAATAAATAGTACTGGGATAAGTGGATGTACAGATATAAACAAATGAAGTTGGATCCTTATCTCACACCATGTACAAAAATCAACTTAGATTGGATCAAAGACCCAAACTTAAGAGCTAAAACTATAAAGCTCTTCAAAGAAAACATAGATATAAATATTCATCACCTTAAAGATGATGATTTCTTAGAAATGGCAACAAAAGAAAAATCAATACACTAGACATAATTGAAATTTAAAACACTTTAAAAGATACCATAAATAAAGTAAAAAGACAAATCACAGAAAGTGAGGAAAAGTTTTGCAAATGTTACGTTTGATAAGAGGTCTGTGTCTAGAATACA